AACCCCCCCCCCCCCCCCCCCCCCCATATAAAGTAACAATTCCTTTCTGCAACAGTGTGCAGGGCAAATAGGGCAGGACTGCTCTTGGTGTTACTTTCTTGGAAGTAAGCTTATTAGTAAACATGTTTTGTCTAATCTAAAATATACACAACTGTTTTAGCTAGCATGTTTACCAGATTAGCTACCCATATTTTAACCTTCAATAGTTCATCTGGCAGTTACTTTGAAATAGTCTAGGGAAATCAAGAAAAATTAGCCATTTAAGTGATCAATAAGCACGTAGTACAGACATACTAAAGATGGGGTGACTATGATGATGCTAAACTCCATAGATGTCACAATAACTGTCCAGTAATGCTGACTGTACCATATAAAATCATTACCAGCAAAAATACTACTTACACCTTGAATGTTACATAAGCTGTCATTACTTGAATGTTTTAGGCAAGAACTAAGCAGTGATTAATCTAATGCAAGTCAGCCTAGACCACTCCTGCTTTAAAAAATGAACAAACAAACAAGTGGAAAAGTAAAGTGAGCAAAGTTAAAGGGCAGAACTGTAATAAATGGCTTTACTTGTCAGTCTGGTCCCAGAGGCTCCTTTTCTCCCCTTGTCTCCCAAGAGACCACCAAGAACAGCTATCTCTGAAAACTCTCTCATGCCTCACATGAGAGCATGATTACAAACGGCTACCGACAAGAATACTAACCTTCTCCACATTATTACAGGTCAGTATCTTTTGAGATGACACTAAAGATTTAGAGCACTGAAAAGTAAAGTTACACTGCAAACAAGAAGCAAGGAAATTTGACTATGCCTTTATTTGCACTCCCTTCCTGACCAAAGACAGTTTTGCTGAATGAATAATTATATTATCCCAGAACAATTTACTGTCTGTTCTACAGTGTGGGCGAAATAAACTGATCTTTAATTTCTGGTAGCCTGATTCATAAATAATTAATAGGTCAATAAGAACCTTTCGAAGAAAACTGAGTATCTTTCATAGGGAACTATACTGCCCTGGCCTGAGTAACCTTTCAACACTGCTGGGCCTAGCTAAAGGGGGTGAGAAGACAAAACACATGGGAGCCTGGGAAAACGAGGGTATGAAAGATCAGAGTCCAGAATGGTGGCTGTGCCCGAGGTATTCACTGCAACATCTGTGCAGCAGGAGGAGGGCCTTAACAGACACCTACAGTTGCTAACATTTCCTGTAGTCTCATAATCAGAGACTTTAGGGATATTATATTTTGATTTCTGATAGTCTACCTAAAAATCTCCCTAAAAGTTTACAATTGCTATCTAAAGCAGATACATACAAAGTTTAAGCTCATGGCAACAGCAGAATAAATTTTCCTGAATAGCTAATTCAGAATTTATAAAACATAAAAAAGGTATGTACCTTGGGTTCCAGTATTTGGCATAATGGCTGTGGCGCTGGACTCCCGTGTAGTCGACCGTGGTTCAAGTCCCAGATCCGGTAGCTTAAACTCATGCCAGGTGCGTGAACGTGCGTGCCCAAGATCCCAAGAGAAGGGATTGTGGCGTGGCTATCCCCCCTGGAGGGTGATTTCTCACTTTCTGTCTCTATAACAACCACCTCTCCAAAAAAAAAAAGAAAAACCCCAAGAAACAATCCAACGAAAACTATACATACCTCTTTTGTTTGATTTGCTTTAGCAACTGCATCCTGTGTCAGGCGTTCCTGAACCAAAATTCGAATTGCCTAATGAAGACAGAAGTATAATTTTTACTTTTTATAAGCTGTTTAACTGTTATCCTTTCTTTTACATCTATAGAATAAGGATGCTCAGTCTGAAGTTAGAATTAACTAGCTCATTAACAAACTCATCAAAAAATTAAAAACAAGGCAACTGCTTTCATAATGAAAGTTTCCACATTTTAATATTTAATAATGTGGAATGATGCTTGCAGTAATTAAAAACATTTCTGAATAAGCAATATATATCTTCCTATCTAAGCCATCAAAGACAATCATTGTTACTAAATTGTATCTGTTTTGTTTTGTCCGGTTTTTCTTTGTTATAGGGCACATAAGCTCTCCAGAGGGAGAGTGAGAAATCAACCCGCCAGGGGGATGGCCAAGCCACAATCCCTTTTCCATCCTCTTTTCAGCGTGCACTGGACTGACTCTCAAGACTCAAACCTAAGTCAGCCATGATCCAGCCACCTTAACCACTCCGCCTGCTGGGCCTGCTTGTATTTTTACACACACTTGCATATAATATCTTAAACCTTATTATTCTTTCCAGTTCACTATAGTAAGATGTTTCAGACTTTCTAAAGGATTTTTTTAAATCACCAAGGCATTTCATTATGTGAAATACAAAATTTTTTAATGGAATTTTAATTAGGGGGTTAACAATTAAAATTCAAAAATAAGTGTGAAACTTGAATGCCTCTTAAAATAACTCAGAAGTGACAAAGGTGTAGCCTGGATGAGGATTTTATAAAGCTTTCTGTTATGAACAGTTATATTTTTTCCCTTTGGGTTTTCAAAATCTAATAAACATCCCAAATATGCTATACATTGTCTGTTTCTCTTCTCAGTTTATGACTAAAGCTGACATAACCACTATAAAACTATTCCAAGGGAATTTACATAATTGTCTGAGTGAAGACCAAGCCTTTAAATCTACTAAATTTCACTAACAACTTGTCTTTTGGCATCCAATCTGGGTTGAGAAAATCCAAGTTAAAATTCGGATTCAGTGTAGAGAATTATAATAATCTAGAAATAGAATAAATCTTTCTCTTGTTAAAACTGTCAACAAACACACATAATTCTAAAAATGGTCTAATCTCTTCTAGATAGAGTGAAATTGTTAAATTTCTTATAAAGTAGTTTAAGCTAGTTAATATGCACAAGATCTAATCTAAAGTTTTTAATCTCCTATCAAATTACTACTTTATAAAGTAATTTCCAAGTCTGGTATCTTAAATACTACTAAGTATTTCACCCATTTGACCCTCACAATTACTAGAAACAACTGTGAAGTTTTCTTCTTAGACAAGAGCTCTCTTTCAGCTACCAGGCTCCCTGAAGTGAAGGTTAGGAACTAGATTACCTATTTAGGATGGGGTAACTCCAATGACAGACATATTAATCTCTCAGAGATTTGGGATATACACTTTTGACCAAATTCATTATTACTAATTACGAACTTGACATTTTCCACTCTCTTAATGAATCCAGATCATAAATCCTTAAGAGAACTAATTAAAAAGAAGCAGGGTTATGTAGGAAAAAGAATGGACCACAAGTCAGAGTGCTGAGAATAAAAAAATCACGGCTCTGTTTGTGTCTTCTTGAGTATTATTTATCCTCTTTATATCTCAGTTTCTTCATGTGCGTATTTTCAAAAAACAAAACCGGGTATTAACATCTACCTCTAGGATTACTGAATGAAACTATCTCTGCAAAGGACTTAGCATAGTGGCAGGCACACAGTAAATACTTTTTGATATTGCTGCATAATTCAAGACATGTAATCTGCTTTATGGCTCACATTCTTCTGCATTTTAGTAATTCGACCATAAATTTATGTATCACTCTAAAGACATTTTTCTATGTGCAATTTGACAAGAATCAAGAACACTGAAGCTGACCTTAAGCATTACCAGGTAATCATCATGACGCTGAATCTGAAGAAGATTAGCCAAAGCCATTACACCAGCCTTGAAGTCAGGATTATTCACTATAAAAGATTGAAAATGAACAAAAAACTTACAGCTCTGCAAACATATAATTATGTATTTGGGGACATATGAGGGGGCCTTCTAAAAATTCAGGAAAAATTGCATCATGAAATTTCAAAAATTTTTTGCACCAAGATAAACTCACTATAATGCCATTTTCCATGAACTTTTTCAAGTCCTCCCCTATAAACTTACCAAAAACATTTAAAAATTTCCAGTAACAATAAATCTCTTATCTTCAAAATGCTACTAGAAAGAGAAAAACCATAAAGCAGTATAAACTAGCAACAATTGGGTAAATTGTTGAGATAGTTTTCTATTAATTATATTTCATCAGCCAAACCGAACAATCTAATAAACAATTAACATAACTTACGTTAGGTTTATCCTGTAATTTTTTCCACAAGACCCATTTATGTAGCA